GGAGACGGGGCGGGGCGGGGGACATTTCCTGGCGCCCCACGTCCCGCTTCCTTTTTCGGTCTCTGCTGCGCCCCGCCCTACGGTGAGGCAGGGGAGGACGAGGTTCAAAATATAAGACCCGTCGCCAACCTAGCCCAGCGCCCGAGCACACGTAGGTGGACACCCCCCCCCCCCACGGGATTCACTTGGCCCCTGAAGGCTGCCTGCAAGTGTCGGCGCTCGCCTAACCGTTGTGTGTCGTGTCCGCAGGTCCAAGATGGGCAGCAGCTGCTGGAGCGGCAAGGCGGGCCGCACCCGCAAGAAGAGCAGCACCAAGAGCAGCCACGGCCTGTCGGACCAGGCCTGCGTGCCCGGCAGGATCAGGCCCATCAAGATCACGGCCGTGGGCGACGGCATGGTGGGCAAGACGTGCATGCTCATCACGTACACGTCCAGGAGGTTCCCCACGGAGTACGTCCCGACTGTGTGAGTACGAAGCTCGGCGCTGGGCGCTCGGCGCTGGGCGCTCGGCGCCTCCGGTGTAGGCCACCCAACCGGCACCGTCTCGCCCCGGCGCCCGGAGGGTGGGCCACCCAGCCAGCGTGGGGGCACCCCGTGAGGCTGGGACTGGTGTCAGAGCAGTGTGTTCTCATGTGTGTTCCTCTTTTGTGGTCTCTCTAGCTTCGACAATTATTCCGACAATCTGGCAGTGGACGGGCAGGAATTCAACATGACTCTTTGGGACACTGCAGGTCAAGAAGATTACGAGAGGCTTCGACCACTCTCTTATCCTAATGTGAGTTAAACAAATTTGATCCCTCCTCTTACACAAGTTTAAAATTCAATGTTATTTTGTTTCATTTGTTTTGTCCATCACTCTTGTGTTTTTCAGACTGATTGCTTCCTACTGTGCTTTTCGGTTGGTAGCCACAGTTCATTTGAGAACATTTTCAGCAAGTGGTTCCCTGAAATAAGACAGCATTGTCCAAATGTGCCCATTGTTCTTGTTGGTACGTTTAAATTTTTTAACTCATCAATTAACATGTAACTATTACTATTGCAAATTTGAAATAACTGTTTCACTGGGTTATCCCAGCCCAGCTCAAATTTAATACAGTAAATTCATATGCAGAGATAAATACCATACATTATGATAATCTCAAAGCCACCCTGCTTCTTTTACAGCCACCAAAACAGACTTGCGAGAGACACAGGCAGACAGTGTTACCACTGCAGAAGGTAGAAGAATGCGCAAGAAAATTAATGCTTCACGTTACATTGAATGTTCTGCAAAAGCTAATGAGGGTCTTCAAGAGGTGTTCATTGAAGCGGTTCGTGCGGTCATCAAAAAACCAACACCACTCAAAAAGAAGTTGTTTTGCAACTTCATCTAGTCTATACAAGATTTCTTAAACAAGGGAAAGTTTATTTTGAACTATCATTCACAATGCATTGGCTTGTCAGTGCATGTGAACTGGAATTGAAAAGAGCTCCGTCCTAAGCAGTTTACTACAGACTAAGCCTCAGACTGAGAGCAATCACCAATAAACTCTCGAGCATCTCAACTCACATTTAGGTTCATCTCATAGATGAAGGTGAATTACTTGGATGTTGTACAAGGGATCTCAAATCAAAATACTTGAAAAATCTAAAAGAATTGGTTGCTAGCAACTCGTGATTCTTCTATAGAATTTGACATGCCTATTTGCCGTAAAATTAATTTATCTCAGCTGTTACTTTGGACATTCCCAACCCATTTCCAGCCTTCATAGCACCCCCCCCCTCTTAAAAAAAGGCATTCCTTATGTGAGAGAAAAATAAGTAACTGGCTGATTAATTTTGAACAAGCTGGCTTAGCAATTTACTTGCTAAAATAATCCTGATCCTATTTCTATTTATGAAATGTTATAAATTGTAACATTTAGCTTATCAAATTTTCTTGAATCAAAACATGTGGAATATTACTTATTTACTTATACCTGTAGTAGTTGTTACTTGTAATGCTGTGTGTGTATTTTTAGCCAAAGACTTTTTTTCTTCTTTTCAAAGCAATGGAAGGTGGATGTGTACTTTATAAGTGAAAATGTATTTATTATAATAAAGTTTAGAAATTTAGCTTAAGTCTGAATTTTATTGTGGTCATAAATTACAATCATGTGAGATAATTTTCAGTCAGATACATGAACAGAGGGACCACATTAAATATACAGCAAGTATCACAATATTTTTACATACCAATAACACAAAATTCATTGAGTTCCCTTCAGGAAAAAAAAAATTTGCAAACCCTTAGTCTAAATGGAGAGCATGATTTCTGCTCTCGTGAAAATCTGTTGGTATGAACTCAACAGCAGATAGCATGGCAGTAATCCCATAATTTACATAATACAAAAATGTGTAC